TTTTACATTTGATTCAGTGCAATTGCTTGGTTTTGTGTCTTGTTTCAGTATTTAATAGTCTTTCCTGAACATCAAGTGTGGCAGAAAGAACAGCATTTGTTTCACTGGTGCGTTTAGTTTTCATTCCTAATGAATTTATTCCTCATGAAATACACGGCATTGCCATTGCTTCTTCATTTGAATTTAAGATATCTCTGACACAACATCATTAGCAACTCAACACTTTGTACTTTAGTTCTGCTAGTTCTTAAGAAATTTTTTCTTGATTGGAGAGCAGTCCATAAGATTTTGCAGACTAACTATTCACATGAAATAGCTGGAAAATAGCTAACAAATTCTAGTTGTGCTGATGGTTTCTGAGATTTGAAAACTTATAATTCAAAATTTTATGTTGAACATGTATTTTGTTAGACTGTGGTCATAGTAATTAGAGGTTACCAACCTTGAGTATACCGGAGAATTCTAGAAGTGAGTATTTCAATATCTCGATGTCATTATCTGAGTGATCTACTTAGTACTTTAATTATGTATATCATGAACACTATCAGGAATTCTATAGAATGTAATCATTTTATAATTTAATAGGAAAAATAATGAGTGATCTATTTATTCAGTAAAGATTATTCCAGGTACATAGTTACAAACAGAGATAATAAATCTCATGCAGCTTTCTTATAGTTTGCTGTGAAAACAAACAAAATAATTGTATCAAAATAGTGTGCAGTTGTTCTTATGCTGGTGTTTTGGAAGTGAGTTTATTTTCTGTATTGTATTAGTTTGATTACCAAATATTGACTGAAACCCAACACTAATTAAAGTGCTATTTAGGGGTTATATTTTATCCAGTAATGCATAGAATAAGTTCCTATGACCTGTAAGATTATACCTGTGGAAGCAGTGGCAGGCGGAGTAGTGCTGAAGTAAAACGGTATTGTGGGTGATACTGAGATTGGGCAGTCATACACAACTCTTTGAAGTGTTCCATTGGGACCACAGGTTGCAACAATGCAGCCTCCTATGCCATCTGTAGTATTGTAGATCATATCTGTATAGTTATATGCCCGTCCTTCATAAACGCAGACACATTCTGTAAAACAAAAGAGGATAGTATTCTTTGGTATCTAAAACACAGAGCAGGGTGCTTTAAATGCATTGTACTCTTATGAAAACAACTTTTTCAACATACCGTGTTCGTCGTATTTGCATATTTTGCCATGGTTTGTGCATTCACTGGAAAAGAGAAAAAAGAAGATAATGAATCTGAATGTATTGGTTAGTAGTATCAGTTTACTGTTTCTTTTTCTGTTGTCTGCTGTTCATTGCATGTTGCAGGGTATCCTCAGCAGTGCATTTAGAGGCAAGGCAAAGATATGGGGAGGCGTGATTAGGAATGTTCTTGTCTCCTTGATAAGCACACATTTTTGGAAGGGAAAGTACAGTAAAAATATCACTTGAGAAAGGATCATTGTGTTACAGATGTTTACATCAGATTTCCGACAAATCTTCAGGGAATGTAGTTTTTAAAAAGAATTTATCTATTATCTGTTAAGAATTGAATCCTGATATATTTATTTACATTTATATGACTAAGGGCATATGTACACTGCATAAACTTAAGCAAATACAGATATATATTTAACAGTTTACATTTAGTACTGTTGATGACATAGGTGAGGCAATCAAAGCTATCTTTGAGCTGCAAAGTGTAACATGAATGTTGAGTAAATAGTCAGATTGGCTTTTAATGGACTCTGCCACTCTGGCTGCATTGCTTGCAGTATTCATTTATAGCTATTTTAAAGACCACAGAGTCATAAAATTGTAAAGTGATTTGGGTTGGAAGGGACCTTAAAGACATCTAGTTGAACCTCCTGCCATGGGTACGGACATTTTCTCTAGATGAGGTTGCTCAAAGCCCCATCAAACCTGGCCTTGAACACTTTCAGGGATGGGGCATCCACAACTTCTCTGGGCAACCCGTTCCAGGGCCTCCCACTTTCATAGTGAAGAATTTCTTCCTAAAGTGTAATCTAAACCTACCCTATTTTAGCTTTAAACCATTATCCCTTGTCCTATCACTGCAGTCTCGAAGAGTCCCTCCCAAAGATGTCTCAGGACAATGTTAACTGATTCATGGCTGGTTCTGCTAACTTTGTGCTATTTGATAGAAAGCTGACAGGACTTTCCCAACAAGTACAGCTAGCTTGTATTCATAAATTCTAATGGAATATGTAGGAATACTTGCTGACTGTTGCAAATAACAGAAATGAGTTCAAAACAATGAAGAATTGATATGTACTCATTTCTAAATAATTCCACATAATTACTTTAGGGATATCTTAATATAAGTCCTCAGATTATTTACAAAATTATTATTATTATTATTATTTTTTTTTACTTAATAATGTTTGTAATAAGAATGCAGAGTGAGTAATATATATTAATCTCCCTAAAGTAAAATGTTTCATCATATCATCTTCTACATTCCTGGGAACAGAAGAACATTAGACATTATTCAGCAGCCTAATTTTTGCTAGCAAACAAAAAACCAAATGCACGATGAATTAAGTTCTGCAACTTTAGGCTCGACATTGAAAAATCTTTATTAATCCTACCATGCTTGGCAGTTCTGCTTTGAAGGCATCTGCATTCCTGGCTTGTAATGTTTTCCATTCTCATAGCAACCACAATTAGAAACACAAGCCATGGTTTCTTCATCAAAATAGGGCTTATTCTTTGGGCAGTGTGGATAACAGCCTGCAGAAAAATAGAGTCTTATTTATGCTGATCTTTCACAAGTAGAAGTGACCCTATACTCTGCTAATATCTGATCTAGTGAAATTATTCCATGTGGTAATTGGAATTTCATTTTCCATTACTGTTATTTCATTGATTACAGATTAATCTCTGGAAACATTTTGTCCTCATTTTCACTCCAAACTAGTGTATGATTCATTGGGAGTTAGGTTGTCTTCAAATTTCTGCTATAAACATTTCATACACTGAATAATTCAGATTTTGTTCATCTTACTCTTTTAATTTTTTACTAAGTAGAATGAGATATGCATAATTATGTTTACCTTCCAAACCTCTCAACTCATGAAGGCACTTCCCACTTGGATTATTACAGGTCTTCATACAAGGGGCTCCACAGGGCTTGTAGTGCCACTCACATTCCCCCTGTGGATTGTAGTAATCGCAGAACAGAGCTAGAGAAAGAGAAATGTCAGAAAAGGATCTTAACTTTATCTATTTCTATTGGTGTTATTTTGCTGGGTAAAAGTCTCATGTCATCAGCACAATCATGTAAGTGGTGAACAGCATGTTGTCTTATTTCTCTTTTAATACTGTTGTTACACTTTTACAACATTTTGAACCCAATGAAGTTATAAAACAGTGAACAGAGTTAGACTTTAAGCATGCAAAATAATGACTGGCAAGTAAATGGGACACTAATAATACTGCTGGTAAAGTTACTGGCAGATGGTTTCTTTTTATGTAGATTGAATAGAATAGATTCCAATGATTTACTCAAATTGCTTTGGGTTTTGTGTTGTTGCTTTTTTTTTGTTTGTTTGTTTTGTTATTATTGTGCTGTTTTTTTTTTCTGCCTGTTTTTATGATACAGCAGTGTCCCCTACAAATATAGTTTTATCCTCCTTTCTTTCTTCTTCCTACTTTTTTTTTGTTTGTTTGTTTGTTTGATTTTGTTTGTTTCTTGTCTGTTGCTTTCTTTCCCTCTGAATCCCTTCAGAAAGAAGTGGAGTGAGACTTACGACAAATGGATGGGGTTCTCCATGAAATGCAAATGTCCAGCTCATTGCATGCTTGAGCATAGGCAGCTACTGCTGTACAAAAACATTCACAGTCTCCTCCAGTGTCACAAGCACAAGCATCATCCACACATGCTTGATAATATTCATTCGGTTCAACCTGTTGGAGGAAATATTTGAGTTTTGTTTCCTGCACTTGTCCACTTTTAAAAGGTATTTTCGGTACTAAAAAATGACTTAGAAAATATCTGAAGTTGGCCACTGTATATTTTAGAAAGATAAAAAATGAAAAAATTATGATAATATTTTGAAAAATCAAGAGAAGAATGTTGAAGACAGCTATTAGTAGGAAGTCATAACCATAAGAACGATTTGGTGTTAAAGACACAATTGCAGGAGTATTGCTACATTACTACATGCTAGCACACAATTGTAGATGTCATGTAGCTGATATTTATATTAATAGAAAACGATGCCATCGCAATTAAAATGTATCCTGCTATTTATCTGTAACCGTCCCTTCTATAACACAAGAAACCAAGTCCTATGGATTTTTGTGTTGTGTTAGAAAACTGGCGTAAGCTGAAGAAATGGAGGTGCATATCCTTTCTACTCTATCTCCCTAGAGCATGGCCTGACTTTGTTATTCATGACTTAGTCCAAATCCTAGTGTGTTTTCAACTGCCCCACATAAAAATTGATGTAAACTCTGCAGACTGAAGTTTTATCGTACCTGGGAGTGACACTTTGCAAATACTTCACTGGTAATGATGCTGCATTGCTTCTGTGCCCAGGATTTCCTGTACGGGTTTGCAGTGCATGGATCTCTGGTTTGATTGGCATTTGGGCAAGTAGAAGACACTTTCCAGCTATTGGCAAACTCCAGCACATTTCCTACCACAGACTGACTGCGCGTAGTGAAGTCATTGTTTCCATTGCCATCATAATTTCCACAAAGGCCACAGACATGCCCCTGCATGGGGATAAACATAAAATAACGAAGATCAGCAAGGTACAGCTTCTCAGTATCTGTGAGGAACGTATTCCAGGATGAACCTTATTTAAAATGAACAGGACTTCTTCAGCAAAATACCTTTCAGGTAAAGATATCTCTAACTTATCCTTACAAGTGATAGGGAAAGAAGCAGAGTAGACTTGTGGTTTTTGTTCTTAATATTAATTAAATGTACCGCTTCAGCAAAGTACATTTTCTTGAAGGATACTACTTATACAGCTGCTGTTATGCTGTTGTTGAAAAACAGAATTTATGGAAGATGTGTATATAGAATCTGAATCAATATTACAAAGATAATAGGCAATAACTGCTATTTCAGTTGCGGCCTAAATTTCCATATTTCCACACGAGATAGAGCATGAAAATGGGTCAGGAAGCATCCACTCCAGGTTTTGGATTTTAAAACGTACCTGAAAGCTGGGACTAAGTTTGATGAATATACTGGTTTTCTTGTCCCACATGAGTATCAGACCAACAGTAGTGTCAACAACCGTGTAGATGCCCATGGAACGGATTTGGAATGGCATTTCTCCTCCAGGTGACCTCTGGATGACATCAGAATGTCCATCGCTGAGCACCAGCTCGTAGTTCTGGGGCAAGAAATGAAAAAGTTAGAGACAAATTTAAAAAGTCACCCATTAGGTCCATTTTTTTATATTGTTAGTAGCCATTTTTGAAATAATCATCATCAAAATGTTGTATTCAAAATTCTCCTGTTGATCTGCTTCTCTTCAAAAATCCCTCCATTGTTTTCCCTGGCAGAATTGTTGGCAGTGACCATGGAAGTGTGATAACATTTTTACTGACCTGGGGGACACTTTTATTATACTGTCTGTCTGGGACAACCCAACAGTCCTTCCAGCAAATTAGTTTGGGTGAAACTTATTAAAGAACATGCTTACCCCCAAGAAAACTTTAATGGACTTGGAGCAGGTGGTTCCTGTTGTGCCACATGGAATGTTCTCAGTGATTACTCTGAAGGTTCCCTGATTCAAACCTTTTCTGCCACAGTAGTTCTGAAACAGAGAAATGATATTCTGTTAATGATGTTCTGTGATGCAATATACAAGAATTATAGAATCACAGATCACCATGGTTGGAAAAGACCTTCAAGATCATCTAGTCCAACTGTCTACCTACCACTAATACTTCCCCACTAAACCACACACCTTAGTACCACATCTGAATGTTTCTTGAACACCTCCAGGGACAGTGACTCCACCACCTCCGTGGGCAGCCCATTCCAGAGTCTGATCACTCTTTCAGAGAAGAAATTTTTCCTAATATCCAGCCTAAACCTCCCTTGCTGCAACTTAAGGTCATTTCCTATCATCCTATTACTTGGAGAATCCTAGAATCACAAAGTGGCTTGGATTGAAAAAGACCCCAAGACCATCAATTCCAAGCCCCCTGCCACAGGCAGGGCTTCCAACTTTCAGAAAAATAAACCAGCTCCCACCTCACTACAACCTCCTTTCAGGTAGTTGTACAGAAGGAATCTGTTACCTGGATTAGAACATATTCACAGTCTCCTTCAAAATCAAAGCGTTTGCCATCAAAGGTGGTATAATGCCCATCTCCGTAAACTGAACAGGTTTCTAGGCAAGGTTCCTCGGAGCAGTGCCACTTTCTGTTTCTACACGTGCTACATAAGATGAAAAGAACTCAAAAAATGTAGAAAACAGATATTCACATATTATACAGATTTATATTTCTACATGTACATTCTTCTGTTTTTAGTTTTAAAAAATGTTAAGCCTGCAGTGAAAAAATAAGGTGTGTTTATTCTCAGAAACGCAGCAAAGCTCCAGTCTCTAGAATTTACCCAAAGAGTGTTAATTTATGATGACGTGAATAATTTGGGTTAGAAAAAACTTAGGTGTTCCATATTTCTAAATCTTGGTTGTATTGAATTATAAGTATTGCCTGAGAAGAAAAAAAGAAAGCTGTCTTAACTCTAATGAATATGATAGCATCTAAACCAAATTTTTATTCTGACCACATGCAATTTCTGTGCTGTGTGCATCTTTGAAAACAGAAGCAGTTTGCTTTTTACTTAAAATGGCCATGAGTGGGCCCAATTGGCCTTATTTTTTTGCTTAATTTATCATTTTATTTAGGATTCTTTCCTACAAATCTTAATACTGCTAGAGGGAACAGCTATAATTCAACTAGAATTTAAACCGTTCCTTTCTAGGGGCTTGAAAATAATGTTTTAATATACTCTTACCAGTTGTTACAGCCAACTCTGATTGATTCTCCTGGACGGTAGGAATCCCCATTGTGAACACATGGGCACTCTTGAGCAACTATGCAGCCACCTTTGCCATCTGATACGTAATTAGGAGGACATATGCAGCCAGAGACGCAGTGGGTTTTGTACTGTAAAGACCGTGTAAGAGATGTGACTTGAGACATTGCCCTGATGGAAGAGTCCATCTACAACTGGTAAGCATAAAAGAGATCTAGTTTCTTACGCTTTCAATTGGGTGTACAGATTCTATACTTACACATTCCATGTCTAAAGTCTGACAACTCTTCTGGCACTCTGCTCCTGTGACACCTGCAGTGGCATTGGCACAGTCAACATAGACCATGGGAGGTTCACAGACTGGAAGAGAGAAAAAAAGCACGAGAAGTGTGAAATGAACCATGTTTATATCTTTGTGTTTCCTTAAAAATTCAAAAACAAACTAGCAAACAACAAAAAAAACGTATGTTTCAGATACATGCAACTTAAGAAAATGCATTTGACCGGAGGTAAAAACAAATGTTCTGAAGTCATACCCATTTTGGTTTTATGTTTATGCTTGGACTGTTCATAGAAACTAATGTGCAGTTAGCTTCATAAAACGCTTCTTTTCACCAAAGGAAAAGCAAGAAAGCAAAGATCCTGTTTCACTTTGAATGTTTGAAGTGACTGGCTTTCAGTTCTTTAATTTAAAAAAATATATTTAAAAGGCGGTCATTTTTCCCCTCAAGTTCACTGAAATGAGCAAGTATTCTTTTCCCCTGGGTAATCCAGGAGGTATAACTTGATGGTTATATCACTTGAAAGCAAAAACAGTGTTTTTTGTTTTTTGGGTTTTTTTTTTTTTTTCACAGTTATGGTGTGTTACAGAATCATTGGTTTGTTTTCTTCTTTGATTTCAGACTTAAAGTATTTGTATCATTATAACAAAAACAGAATTGAAAAGGTTGAAGGTGTGAAGGGAAAATTAAATAAAATCTTAAGCAGTACGTTACCTGGTGATGGTTTCTCTCCAATGCAGCTCAGCTTTCCGTAACTGCAAGTGCTATAAAGAAGAGAAAGGTGTTATGTTTGCTTTTCTTACTGAGTTTCAATTTGTTTCCTAATTAATTTGAAAGAATGAAACAAACACTGTGTTTTCATCAGAATAGTTTAGAATATTTGAAAATATTTCATATTAGAGCAGACCAAAATGCCATTATGTTCTATAAGTGGACCAGTTTTCTTTGTCCATTTGTCTAATTAAAAATTGTCCTTCAGAATATTCCAGATTTCATTCATAATGTTAATCCTAGTACGATTGTCAAGTCTGTATCATCTCCAACTGTCAAAGAAGTCTTTTACGCTCACCGAAATTTTGTTGCAGTGAGAGTTTGGCTGAGTAGCCAAGGTTAATTCACCATAGTATGCTTTATTTGATTGCTATAGTAGTCTAATTCAAAACATGAATAGCCCTTATAATTTTTCTGAATTCTTTTTTTGTGTGTGTTGAATTCACTAGGGAGAAAAATTGGTTTGATTTGAATAAATTGCATAGGATATATGTGGTTTCCTGATTGCCTGTATCCAATCTCATTCTTTTCTTTTCAAATCTCTTACCAGACAATGCCATTATCGTGAATAACTTCCCCAGTAGACAGAGGCATTCCTTTGTAGTAACAAGGACAGCTAGATGCAGGCACGCATTTTCCACTTTCATCCATGTAGGTTCCATTTACACAGGTGCAGCCATCAACTGGGACAAACTTGATGTTGCATGTGACATCAGGCTCACTCAGAGAACGACAAGTAGGTTGACAGGAATCAACACTGTAAGTGTACTCCAAGGATTTTGGACATGTGTTGGTGTATTTTGCTTGAGAGAGTAAAACAAGGTGAGTTAATTTAAGGATCAGTGTAGATATAAATGCAGTATTTGAGGTGAAGTACATATGATAAAAAATGGCATTGTAGGTAGATGTGCTTTTCTAATATCCTCAGTAGTGTGATTTATTTTTTTTTTTTAACTCCAAAGCAAAAATTTCCCCCATAATTGTGTCACAAATACAAATATTTTGTCCAAGTTAAAAAAAAAAAAGCAAAAAAGTTCGATTATATTGATACATTGTGTGTTTTTCCTTCATTGCTATTTTCTGAGCGAGTAACCAAGTATCTTGTTTATATTTCTCCTTGTATGCTGCTTGTCTTTTTCCTCTCTTCCTCAAATTCTTGGAATTGAATGCTATACTTAAAGCATAAATTAACACAATTTACTCTAGGAATCCCATATGTTCTGAAAGATTGTTTGTGGGGTCTTTCGGATGATTGTTTTCAAGAGGCAAAGGGGTTTAGAACTTACTGCAGACTTTGTTCCTCCATCCATTAAGGAGTATTCCTTTAGCAGCACAGGCTCTGACATAGCTGGAAAGGGCAGCACACATGCAGTCCTCAGTACTCTCACAGTTACAAGTATCAAACATGCAGTTCTAGGGAAAGAGGATGATATGAGATCATCAGATTGTCATTTCAAAACTGTATCTTTTTAGACTTTATTTAAAGAGTCGTGTTCATTAGAGCTAAAAGAAAATGTAATTTGAATACGTATAAATAAGCACATGCCTATTTTTTCATTTGAAGATTTCTTTGAGCCCTTTCAGAAAAGATTATTTGCAAAGAAAAATAGTAATCAGAGGCCTGCGATTTTAACTTATTTTTCCTTTTTGTTGTTCTTCTTTACTTTCGCAGGTGGTGATAGGTTTCCCTGTTGCTTCCAATTTGTAGCCATGGTACCACAGATAGTGGAACAAGTAGTAAGTATTTAATCCCACCTGACTTTTCATCTTTGCTAGACTCTCTGATTCAGAGGAATAAAGGGGAGGAAAAAAAAAGTCATTCTTTTTGTATGTAGGGCCATAGGTTGAATTCTTGGAATGTTTTTTTTTAACAGTCCATTTGCTGCTTTGTACTTTCAGTTCTTGCTTTCTCCTTAGAAATGTGCAGAAAGGGGCCAGCTGAGAGCAACTAGGCAAAGTACTGCTTATACTCCTTTTATCTCTGGAAAAGCACCTTCTGTCATTGGACTTGACAAAGAATCCAGACAGCTCAAGCTCGTAGATTAGGAATTTGGCATCAAGAAAATGTCTGTAAATTTATCCTCCTTTGAGTGAAAAGAAAGGTTATTTTATAAAGGAGTAGATATTATGATGCCTAGATAAAATGAATCCTTAGCTTGGAAAGAACAGTTGTAAATGTGTCTTCTCTCAGTGTTAGCATCAGTAGTCCAAATCTTATTCTTTTAAGCATGAAAAAGTTAAGAGCCAAGTACCTTCTGGTAAACTTCTGGATTCACTGTTGAATGACATTCTGCAAAAGGTCCCATGGTATCAGAGAGCAAGCCACACCAGTGCTGAGCATAGTTATCTGTGAATTTAAAATATGCAAATTAATATTGCACTTTATTCTCTAAATTCTAGTTTCTGTTACATTACTTCCTGCAGTGAAATTAGAGAGGTTTAACTTAATAGAATTCGGCTGTTTCCTTAAATATTAACAGTATTCTGCATCATCTGTACAAAAATAATAATTCTTCATAAACTGAGCACTCTTAATTTACAGTAGTTGTTGTGGAATAAAGTAAAATTTCTTAGATGTATTTTGATAAAGAAGAATCACACTGTGAATCAAAAGTATAGTAGTTCATCTTAAAAAATTGAAGATTGGCTGTGGATGGTGGAAGCATAAGTGTTTCTTTGTCTGAAATTCTTAAGATTCAGAGAGCTATGAAGTCATTCATGAACTATAAGTGGTTCATAGTTTGATAGCGGAAGGACCACAGTGAGTCCTCCTCCTTCAGTTGAGCTATGCACAGCTTTTTTCATTTATGATAACTAGTGCTTTCCAAGAATAGATTCCTTAGCTGTATAGTTCCAGTTTCCCTTGGGTAAATTGGTGAAAGCAACACTGGCTTTCTTTAGCCAAAGGAATATTTTTGAAAATCCAAGATATTGAACTACTTACTACTTATTAATTGATAATTTCTATTGTCTGCTGAGGAAAATAGCATGTGTATGCAAATGGTCCGCTGTTACTTTGGCTAAATGCTTTGTGGTTGATCAGCTCATTTATTCTTTTTATCTTAAAAGAGAACACAAAAGAGCTTACCATTTTCTATACTGAGAGTGCAGGGGTTCTCAAAGGTAATTTTGGCATCAGGACAGTCAGCCTGAGTTTTCCAAGTATTGCCAAAGGCAGCCGAAGTACCCTCTATTACACCACTTGTGGTTTTGAAGTCATCTGTCTGGATGTCATTGAAGTTTCCACAGAGACCTAGAGGGAAGTAAATAGGCTGTGAAAGTCTCCTACCAAATATGCATGCTGATGAAGGCAGTTGTTAGAATAAGATCACTTACCACAGGTCTGCCCTTTCTGTGATGGGTCTAAGTTTATAAAAAGTTGCATGAGAGGTACAATTTGAATCTGCAGCTGAAGACCAAAAGTTGTTTGTAAAATGATGAAGAATGATGATGGTCTGAAGATGGTGACATTTGCTGTGGACAAGGAGGAATAATTTCATTTAAGATAGAAACAACTTTTTTTTTTCTCACTATATAGGAGAATTACACAGCTGTGTGTGATCTTAGTTGTTGAAGAACAGAAATATATATATATATATAGGATTTCAAATCCTGCACCAAGATGGGCTGTCTTTACTTTAAAGAATGAGTATGCAAAAAGCTTCCACTTTTCCATCAGCTGTTCTAAAGTGGAGGGGAAGGCATACTTTTCTGTTCCTATTCAAAAGAACACCTCTGCTTGATGAAAATGTTTAGCATGAGTTAGTGGTAGACTCCAGTATGAAACTATTCTGTCATTTAATAGTTTGCTTTCTGTTCAGGTGCAACAGTATCTGAGAAGAAGTGGTAGGATACTCTCCAGTGAGAAATATCACAGAAGTCTTTGAAAGGAACTTACCTGCAGAGAAGGGCAGCTGTGTGTAGATCATATTCACAAACACGCTGCCAGAAGGCTGGATCACAACGTTCTGTCCACAAGAAAAGGCAATGATTGTCAAGCATGTTTAGGAAAGGTAAAACACTTTCCAAACATAGTATATCTAGTATTATTCAAGATAAAGGAAAGGAGTGGGGGGGGGGGGGGGAAGGGAAGAAGCAAGTTGGTGGACTCCAGCTATGGTGATTTTCAGATTCCCTTACTATTTCTTTTATCATTACTATAGAGATCCATTGATGGCTAAAACAGACAACTAAATGACAGAAAACTATGAGGATTTTAACTTCCAATATATCTGCTTTGTTCTTTTCGAAAACTGAATCCATTTTCAAATGAGATAAAACAAAAAACCAGTCCATGCTGTTATGAGTCATTTGCATACTAATTGCATATTAAGATTGGAAAACATCACTGCAGAATATTAGCTGTTTGTATTTGCTACTTACAGTTTGTCCTCCGCTTAGACTGATGGCTACGCCCTTGAGGCAAGTCTCAGTGTCAGTGAGACCACACTTGTAGATGTCACCCAGAACAGTGAAATCATTGCTGTCACAGAGCTAAAAGAAGAAAACAAAATAAGGCCATTGTATTAGGAAGATCACACTCAGTGGGTTTTTTCACTTCTTTTTTTTTTTTTTTCTGTTTCATTTTTGTTGTTCTTTGGTTTTTTTTTTTTTTCTGTCCTCAGTTTTTTTTTTTTTTTTTTTACAGACTGCGTTCTGTGAGCTGTATTCAAAGTATGCCTAATGGCCAAGTTATTACAGAGAAACACACAGAACTCATTTTTTTGGTGTTAACAATACTAACCTGAGGACAGCTGAGATGTGGAATTACAGCCATAAGAAAATTTAATGTTAAAATCTAGGGCTTTTTAAATCTTATCTATACAGGTTGAAGGTTTTGGTGTACTTCCAGGAATCCTGTGAATCTAATTTTACATGCTGGTGCCAAAAAGGAAGTTTAACGTGTAAGTCTGATCTACGCTCACATTGTTGATCCAACCCTATGCATGTTATTTTCACTGAAAATTTTCATTGATTTAGTCTAATCTGTTTCTAAATTTTGTTATTCTAGCTCATTTCTTCAGTGTTTATGGTTCTCTTTCCAGGTGACATTCAGCTTGAGCTTTTTCAGAGCAGGTTTTATTTAATATAAAGTCTACAGGAGACTGATTTTGCGTTACTCACGCAGTACAAATCAACAGCCAAAAATACATTGCATTCTGAGATTTGAAATCTGCAGTCGTTAACTAAGACATACTTACTCAGGATTCAGTCCCTACAAATTTAGCAAGTCCAGTTGATCTTAAGTGGGTTTTTTTTTTTTTTTTTTTTTTAATATAATTTCTGATGCTGGTTTTAGAATACATGTATGACTTCTTACCATTTTGCTTTCAAATTCTAGTGTATTCTGCATTTTCTCTTTCTCAGAAAGAGACAGTTACGAAACACCAGACAGGGAATATTCAATTAAAAAAAAGGAAAGTGTAGAGGCTGTTTCATGAAAACTAAAAACTCAGTGCAATTCTTAACCAATGATCAAATAGATAAGAATGCTAAAATATATTTATTTTCTACAAAACTATCAGAAAGCCCATTGGGATCTATTTAAGGTTCCAGGTATTTCTTTTAAGTTTCAGAAAATTGCTGTAATTGCCAGTAGTTTAAATTAAACATTCTTGTATTTAATAACAGTGTTTTCCGTTAGCAAATTACTTTAAGAAGGAATGTGACTCCTTTTTACCTTGGTTAGGACATAGCTACAATCTCCATAGAAGGAATAATATTTTTCATCAAATGTTGTAATGTGGGAGCCTCCTTCGATGCTGCAAGTCCCTGGACATGACTGGGTGACACAAGTCCATTCACCCCCAGCACAAGTACTGAAATGAAGAAGGCATTCTGTAACCTTGGTAGTGCATGTATAAATGAAATTAGACATAAGGGCACCTTTATTTTCATGAATCATTGCTGATCATGCTGCCTTCTGGAGAAAAGAATACTTACAAAGAAACCATATTTCTTTGAGATCTCAAAATAAGTATCATTAATATAAATCATCTATCATTTATAGATATCATATATATATCATATAAATATCATTTATATCATTTATATTAATGATATTTTTAACATGTTTTTTATTTCCAGTTGTTGGACAGAATTAAATTCCTTTGAACCTGGCATTCATTTTGTTACACAGTGCTGTGAAGGATGTGACATGGTAATCACATCTCTACATGGCTTTTCAGCCTCCACAATTTGAGTTTGATTGTTCCGTATAAATGGTTAGTCTTGACATCAGAACACCTATATCTAAACTTAAAATTGTGCTTCTGAGTCTGAAGAGAAGACAGATTTGAAAAACCTCTTAAAAAGTTATCAAGGAACTTCAGCTAATAAGTAGTTCTTTTTTTTTTTGAGGAGTAATTTTTCCCTGTCTCCAAAACATAAAGGTAACGCCCCTAAAAAAAAAGTATGAGAAAGGGGCTATGTTACCATGATCTGCATTTAGATGAGAAGGAGGTACCAGGAGCATAGGTTTCGCCTTCATAGGTACAATGGCATTCCTTACGGGGAATACAGCCAGCACCATTAATGTCATCGAATACCATTCCTAGGGAAAGAAACGGTCTGTTAGTCATTCTGTGCACTACAGAATCTGCTTTTGTCTACATATCTGCCAGATGTATGAAGTGTTTTGCATTTCTCCTGCATGTGGAAAATGTAAAGGTCCTTAAAATAATAGAATGCCAGCTATAGAGGGAATGAAGAAGCTATATTTCATTGAAGCCTATCTGAAATCCTGGGATGATCATAAGGAACTTTTAAGTAAAGTCCTTTCTGTTATAGGCTTCATTAGATTGGAATTAGGATTAAAACTAGTAGAGAGTAAGATGGAACATTCTGCGCATTCAGTTAACTGCATGTGGATGCTGAGAATGTTCTCTTATCGTTAGTAGTAAAGTATCTTATACACAATTGAGTCGTTATATGCATGTCTTAGGACCATTTGGTGTTTGAAAGGTGTTTTTATAACCAGGGTAGATGTATGTATATCAAGGAAGATAACAACAACAACGACATAGCATGAATAGATAAAGAAGGCTTTAATGGTTTTGGCTATGAATGAAGGGTATGAAGTAACTTGCCTGAAGGACAGGTACAGCCATCTGTACAATGATCTTCACAAAGCGCAGATCGTTCAGGGTTGCTGCAGGTGTCGGAGCAGGGGGAGCCACACTCCTGGTGTTGCATGTTGAAAGGACATGACTTGGCTGAAAATAGAAAGAGTAGTATGATGCTGGCTTTTCCTTTGAAATGTTGAGAAAGAGTATTTAATATCTCTGTTTTCTGTCAAGATATAATGGACAACATCCGAGTGTAGGTTGCAACATTTTAGACCTTCTGATATATATCGAAAATGGTAGATGTAAAATCCTCTAAACCTTCATATCCATGAAATCTTGAGTGTACTCAAGTGTAAGCTGATTTCATGAAACTTATATATACCTTTAAAAGGTAAATATACCTTTAAATATGTACCTGTCTTCTTCAGGAAGAAAAATTAGATATTATAAGCCCACTGTATATAAGGAGGCAGCGTAAGTAGAAGTCTTTTCCAGAGATACTTACGACATAATTCTGAGGTTCTCCAGTTCAGAGGCTGTCCACCTGCATGAGCACACTGCCGGGAGTATTCAGCAAAGGTGTTGCACATACAGAAGTCGGCCATAGAAGTATCACAGTGGCATAGGTCTTGTATGCAAGTTTCAATGTAGTCCTGAACGTCCACAAGTGCATTACAGCTTGTGAATGCTTCACTGGTTAATACTGTCTTGCAGATAGAAGCCTGGAAAGGAAAACAATGAAATAGTGTTTAGAAAACATGGAAATAGTTATTTCATTTCAGGAATGAAGCAAAACAAATCAAAAGTCCATCTAGTCCAAAACCCTATCCAACAGTAGCCATAGGCAAATGTTTAGGGAAAGATCTATTTAGAAGCTTAGAAAAACATATTATCACAATAGGACTCATGGGACTCCCTTGATGGTTCCCATATGTTGAGTTACTTTCTCAGGTGACTCTGCAAGCATTGTATTGTTTCCTTGTTTTTAGACATCTTTGGTAAATTCCTTTTTCATTTTAAAATGTCCAGTCTTCTCTTGAACTCCTGTAATTTTTATTTTCTTTTGCATTCACGTTAGCGAAGAATACTAAATTTGGGAATCTTTTTTTTTCCAGACCCATGTCTGGCCATATTCATGCTGTATTTTTACATATCTTAGCAGATATTCACCAAACAAAGGGAGGAAAGGATAGTGTATGTTACTCTGAAAAAAAAAAAAAATTCTGAAAGAGAGGTTCTTACAAATTCAGATGAGCAGTTCATCAGAACAGTGGAAGGAATAGGATCATCACACTGCTCTGTGGGTCCATCTATCTTCTGCCTATTCCCAAACTGTAGAGCAGTCAGTTTTGCATCTGTATAAAGTAGACAAAATATTAGAATGATATTTACTGCTTTACTAGCTTCTGCATGGAGGTTTTTTCTTTTTCTTTTAAGATACTACGCATTGAAAACAGTGATTACCAAATAATATTACTGTAGTGATAGGCAAAAGGAGGTAAAAAAGGTCTGGAGCCTAACTGAAAAAAAGTAGAAGGTTACATTATTTTAAAAGATCTAACAGTGGTCGAAACACCTGAATACATCTGAAAGCTGTAACGCTATTATGTGTTAAAACTGACATCATAAAAATACCGACTGGAAGATGTATCATTAATTTGGCAGTTAATATAACCCACGTCCTATACTGCTAAAATGAGGGAAAAAAGCGCCAAGGCGTAATAATGGTTTTTATTACTTTGTGAAATAAACTCGTTGTTGGTTGGGATTCCATTGAAGTCCCCACAGAGTCCACAGGTTTGGTTGGCGTATTTCTTATCTAGTTCCACCTAAAAGAAATGAGGAAAGCAAGTTTAGGTTCACAGTAATGTGTAACCTGATGGTTAGAAACACTGTCCTTATGTAGTTAAAATTTGACGTGGGTGTGCTGGTGCAGACTGTAAGATGTGGAAGGTCAATGACCACCATGAAAAGCTTCATCTTAGTCCAGCCTTTGGACTGTGAACATCTGAGTATTTCACTGTGATGTGCAAGCACTATAATATAGGTTTATATTATTCTCAGTGGGAAAAAAAGTAAAACCAAGAAAAGGCTGGAATATAGATTTGTATCTATACTAAACATAGATACAAATCCATAAAGTATTAATGTCTGCTTGACTGTTTAAGATTGCAAAAATTTAAATGGACTTTCTTCTAATTATAGGCTTTCTGTCACATTTTGGATATTTTCTTACCAGGAGGGCATCCTCTTCATTCCAGAGAAAGATCAGTCCTAACTTGGCAGAAACTTTCAAATAGTTGTTGCTTCTCTCTATCATGACTCCCATATGGCTATAGGGCATCTGAATCCTGGGAAAAGATGACCATAATTCAGTGGGAGCAGGGACAGAATATCCATTGAGCAAATTGATACCAATTCCTACTCTTTGAGAAGCTTCAGTGCACAAAGATGAGGAAATTAGCCAGAACAATAACTAAATACAGACAGCTCAAATTTGTTAACGTTTGGCTATTTGGATTGTTTCTTTGTCCACAATGGATCAGCCTTACTTTCCCTGCTTTTCCTTTTGCTTATTTCTGTTAAAGGTAAAATGTTGGCATGTCTTCAGTTACACAGATCAAAAAAAGTGCTGGGATATTCTGTTTTGCAGGCAGTATGCTTCAGAATATTGCTGAATACTCCTTTAAGCCCTTGATAAGGGATAGACTCTTTAGGCTTTCTGTGACATGTGTGCCATTTGTAAAGCTGTATCCAAAATAACCTTTAGTCTAGCTTGCTGTAAGTAGTTGCCATAATACACAGATCATTGTGAGATAGCTGTCCAAATATTTACTCAAACATTTGGACAGGTTTCACACTTTTTGCCAAAGTCAGTGCTACCATTTCTTCAGGAGTAGGAGGTTCCCAGATTAGCTTATTTAAAATAAGCTCAGGTGCAATCTGTAGTTGAAGTGCAAGTACAGGAACAATAAGAAATTCCTCACGGGGCTCCTGTCTGGTAAAATTAATGACAGGTAGAAACTTACAGGGTGGAAAGGCCAATACTTTGGCTGAATCCAGCTTATACAATCAACTGCGTATATAGACAGTTGTTGCAATGGGGCTGCATCTGGGATATAGCTCCTCTGAACGAAATGCACACAAGGATAATCTGCAGAAGTTGCATGTTGCTCACTGTCAGGCACTCTAATTTTTGTTGTTGCCTCAAGAAGGACCAGAGCCCTTCAGCTGGTTGGGAGCAGTATCAGATCAGATGAAGAAAAGGGATGCTTGCTCAAAGAGCCTTCAGGGAGTGATAGCAGTCCCAACAATTTCAGTTCATAGTAGAAGATGTGAACGTACTGTTTGCCGTTGACCAGGACAGAGGTGCGTGTCAATTCAACCACTGCTCCTTCCAGCCTCATGATGACGTGAGTGATCACGGTAGCATTTTCCCCAGTGGTGCGCCTAATCTGGATATTGAAGTCCTCATAGGGAGATTTGCAGTTGGATGTAAAGATGTAATTGCAGACCCCAGGGAAGTAAAAGATGTCCCCATCAAAGTTCTTGAAGTGGAAGTTACCCCATGTACTGCATACACGGCCATTGTGAGAGGGGTTGCCAGCTGTGGATTCAAAATGAGCCATCAGAATTTTCTGCAATTAGCTGTAGATACCCTCCATTTAGTTCCTTTGGTGAGATATCTCCCAATGTTTTGAACACATTTAACTTACTTTACTGGAAACAGTCAGTGTGATTTATCCCAGTATTTCATATATAATATTTTTCCCCAGTTTCATTGTATTAACAAAATATAGGCTGGAGATCATGCTGCTTGTAGAATATCCCTATTACTTGATTAATTGATTATTTTTCTGGTTTGTTTTTTATTTTATGAGGCTGAAGGATCTTATAAAATTTGTGAATCTGTTCAGTTCAATCCAGGTTTTGTGTGGTACAAATACACACATATCTGAGCCATGACATTTGTTGCACTCACCCTTTACTTTCAGTGTGTTTTGAAGAGGTGGGATGAACGTCAGTCCATGGGATTTGGAAACTGGTGAAAGATCTAGGACAAAAAAAAAAAGCTCAAGTTTAATCTCATGAGAAATCCTGAAAAATGGCTAGAGATTGCTTAACTTTCTTTAGTAATATAACATTTCCTGCTACTAGTTACACCCTATTGAGAATTTCCACAAGGCTTTACTGTTGCTTTCCATGCAATGCTCTGTATTCTATCTTTCCGTGTGTTTCACTAGCATCCAAATCTCAAAGAGATTGGCTGTAGTTTTTATTTGCATTATATATTCAAGACTCCCATCTGATGCTGGCCTTGCTAATCTGAGCTCAAAAGCAGCAGTGTAATCCTTAGATTGCTGTGTTGTAACAGTAGTGGAGAAAAAGCCACGCTAATGTCTGTATCTCAGTCTTTGCCTCTCAGTGCATTTAGAAGCAGAAGGCTACTGAAGAACCTTAGAGGATGAAAAACAGCAGCTATTTTTTTCTGAACCTAGTCTTTTTTCTGGTGAGGATGGAACTTTACACAACCAGCTGTGAGTAGGTTTTCTTGTTTGTTTGCTTTCCCTAAAAGTAAAGCTGTTTAAATTCTGTAAAGCTTTGATCATTTTCTTCATGCAAAGACTTCTGTTCATAGGATCTTGCCTTAAATCTTCTATGTCCAAATCCTATGTTTTCTCTATAGCTCTAGCTATGAAGGGGATAGAACACTTAGAGAATCTACTATATATTTTCTTTACATCAGAGTTTGAGGATTAGCTGCAGTTTCTCCCTGGACAGTATAAAATTGTACAACACAGTGACTTTCAAATTGTAGGCTGTGGAATATTAGCAACTGACTTATGTGTTTAGACTAAAACAACACTAGGACAAATCCATAATTTTAGAAAGGCAGTTTGGTTAAGTCTTGATGTAAGGATTTTAAGAAAAAGCAGATATACTACCTTATTTGATAATCTATTCCAATAACTGACTGCACTCATGAAATAATGTGAAATATACTTCCAGTTTGTGTTTAGTTCTTTTTTAATTCCCAGCTAGAGACTTCACAATTGCCGATAGCAGTCCAGGGTAAATGGTTAATTATCACAACATGTCATCACCAATACACCAGTTGGCATTTTATCTTTTCACCCTTGTTTTGCTGTGTATTGTTACTCTGTTCCAGTATGTGTCATAAAACCATTTCACATACATGATGATTTAGTGCTTAATCATTGTAATCTTTAAGGTAGTTACAGTTCTGTTATTCTCACTTGTAAGTGATGCGATCATATTGACACAGCATAAAAAATGTATTTTTTATTGCCTTCTATCAAATACCTTGGTGATACGTGTGTATACACACCCCCTTCTGAAAATACGCTTTTTGATAGAAAGTATGTACCTTTCATGAAGTTAAAGATTAGATAACTGTAGCACGTCAGTTGACCAGATATACTAGGCTAGATCTCAGAAGAAGTTAGTTCTCCCAAGAACTGCTGGGACTTAGATATTTTGTAGACAGATTTTCTCTCTCTCTCTCTCTCTCTCTCTCTCCATTTGATTTATTTATCTATGTTTGCTCATTTATTTGTAGAGGGAAAGTAGGTTTAAGCCATTCTAGTCCCAGTCTATGAATCTGGAATTTTATCAGTTTAACGTGGGATAAAATATTAGAAATATGTCAGCATAAAAGTACTTACGATTTTGTTGCTGCAGGAATAATGGAGAGTCATAGTTCGATTGTGATTGTTGCTCATTGCCCTGAGCTTGAACTGCACCAAGGAGAGTGAAAAAGGAAAGGGTTAATGTTTAATTTACATGAGTTCCTTCATTATTTTCTTTCAACTACATTTATTTAAACTTGCAGTTTATGTATGTAAAAATTGGCAAAGCTATGTTTGTTTGCCAGACTTACATTAGGACCTGTGCTCCATGCAACCATGGTGGCCCTATACCCCTCCCTGAAATATTTTTTTCTGCAGGCTAATGAAGTACTACTGCAAGGAAGCTATCAAAAATGTGCTAGTGAGAATTTGAGCAGACTCTTATTCTATTAATTGTTGTAATATCACCCCGATACTTTGTTATATTTTTCAGATAAATGACTTAATTTTCTATTTTATGATTATTATGTCCTTTAGTCATAAGCAAAAGCCTTTGTCTATCTAAAGGGCTTTAAAAATAGTTCAATTTGTTACAGGACATTTTTGAAGTGGAAGAGCAATCTCTATCTTCTTTTACTGAAAGCCAAAGTTACTATTTATTTTACTGTTCCAAGCACTTTTTATAATAAGCAGCAAAAGAAAAATAAACCCACAAGCCACACAGAAAGAAATAGGCCCCCAAACAGAGCTTTCTCTTTTCAGCTGTGAAGCTGCTTTTTAATCCATGCCCCTTCAGCTTCAAAGGGGCATACACACAAAATCTGTAGGGCCCAAGAGGCATTTTAACTTGTTGAGAGTTTGTCAGATACAAGGCAGGTTGCAGGGGAGGCCATGGCAGCTGGAGAAAAACTACAAAGGTCAGGCCAACTGTTTTCTGTGTCCCACAGCAGGGCAGTCCATGGGTAGCACCACTAGAGGGGCTAATACTGAAATTAGAGCTGAAGGGAGCTCCATAAATTCTTTCCTTCTTGCATCAGCTGGGAATTTGCAGCTAGGGTTGGAAGGATGTGTTGTACCCCTTTTGCAGATGTGAACCAGTCAGTGCTTCTGGGTTCCTCCCCTCCATTCCATATCCTTAGTGTGCTTTTTCTTCTTTTTCCATGCCTACTATGGCTCCAACACTCTGCCTAGTGCCACATGCTTCCCAGTTTCCCATTTCCATTGCACTGTATGGTAATACTACAGCTAGGCTTCTGATGGGCTATTCTTAGACAGCACTACTTTTTAACAGAAATTAATGTGGAATTATCTGGTGCTAGAAAAATATAAAGTAGTTCACTAGGATTTACATCGGAAACTAAAACACACTAAAAACTAACACTGTTGTCACCTTAATCTTTAAAGGAAATTAACAGAGGAATATGAATAAAAAAGATTTCTACCCATTTGTGAGTATGAAGTGTTTTTTTGTAATATTTAAGGCAAATCTATTTGTTTTTGTACCCTGAAAAAAACAAACATTTGTTCTAAGCTTTTGTACAATCTCATGCTTATGGATAAATGACATTTAAAGTGTAATGTACAACATTTTTCAAGAAAAATCTCTACCATATTGTTAGCTGATAAAACAACAAAGAAGTATTTCACAATGCAAACAGATTCCACTAGTTTGTTCTTTCTTAAATGTGTTTTTGCACCTTTTGGTTTGTGCATTCCTAAAAGAAGTAATTTCAAAAGCTCACATCAGAAGTTAAATGCCAGTCTTGAGGTACAGTGGTAGAAATATGAATTACTGCAGATTTCAAATGCAGAAAATGTGTTAAGAACATGAACTAGAATATGAACATTGAAGACTCTTAATTTCCTCTTTTTAGGAAGGAAAGTATTTGTAACTGAGAAGAAAATTTTGCATAAAGGTATACATTAGCTCCGCAAAGCCAAAAAAAGGTTTCAAACTCTGAAGCAGGTCATAAATTCTTTAAAACTGTAAAAATCCCAAGCAAGTAAATCCTCCTACCTTTGATCTGTACGTAGGCAAGTGCTAGTATTGATATCCATAGTGGTATTTGTGTCCCACTACCTGTGCCCATCTTCTGGAAGTCCGGTAGAAACTACCGAACAACCTGCCTCTGAGAAAGTACTGGTCTGCTCCTGAGTTTTATATAGTGAGAGAGCAAGTTTTGGCTCAGCTCCCAGATTGCTTCACAAGGTCCTTAAAAGGTGGGGCTTCGGACGTTTTACTTTTCCTTTGCAGGTGCACAGGTAAATAGAGGATGCTCTGACTTCCCTATGGTATTTGCACTCTAGGAGGAGTCTTCTTTCTACAGGTCTTGCAGATGAAATGTCAAGAGGTGAACAGGAAAAATTTTTGCACAGACTTAGTCCTACAAAATTGTTAATATTGTAAGATAAATGTAATTTAATGAATTTCCGAGTGACATTTGAGCAGGACCTTGGAATGAATAACTCCACAGTTTTAACATTTTCTTCCTTATATTTAAAGATTCCAGCTTCTCAAAAAAGTCAAGTCCGATCTGACACAAATTTTTAATGAGTTTGCACCTGTGCACGTAGTTACTTTGCTTGTGAAAAAGACATTTCAAAAGCCATCTAAGGTCAGCATTTATCCACAGGTCTACATAATGAAAATCCTTCAGCTTTGGACAGTTAATAGTATGAATCCTTTCTTGAATATTCCTTCTTCTCACATATGCAATTTTATTGCTAGTTCAGCAGTTTCTCCTCTTTATAAACATGATCTCAATCTCATAATAAATGAGATCAAATTTTAGAGTTATATATATTCATTTAACAATTAAAATAGATGTATTATTGATTATTGCTTTACCTAGAGACACAAGAAGACTAATTTACAGGAATATCCTTTGTAATGTAGTGTTTTAAGAACAATGAGAGAACGAACAAAGTTTTGTGAATGTGTTAAAATATGATTTTAAAGATATATTACTATAGTGAGCTAACTTTTTAGAATGTTTTTCCCTGGGCTGCAGATAAACAGTTTTTCAGAAGGGGAATAGACTGAACAGTTCCTGTAAAGAAGAAAGTACTAAGATGTTTCCCATATTCACTGAGAACAGGACAAGATGTAATGAGGTAAAAAAGCCAGGAGTGGCTTTTGGGTTAGACAATGGGAGATATAAATTCTTTTTACACGTGTGGTGAAGCACATGTTTGAGAGGTTGTTTGAGAAGGCTGTTGGATTTCCATCGCTCATGTTGTTTAAGAGCAGGTTAGACTGACACCTGCCTGAGGATGGTGTCAGTGTAGCTGATAGTGTACTGGGGCAGGGGAATGGGCAGAATGGCCATTTTAGATTCCTTTTAACCCACTTTTTTCTGGGAAAATAAAAAAAAAATTACTGTATTCTCTCTTTAGGAGCAGTTATATTTGAGTAATGAACTTAATAATTAAGAAGGGAGAATTAAAAGGCACTTTTTTCTTTTTTGTCATAGCAAGAAATGATCCTATTTTTATCAAATATTTTAAAATTACAAATAAAAGTGACATAACTAAATAAAGTTGGAAGTGTTGAAAAGAATTGGTCACTTTCAGTCATTAGTGGCAATTTCAGTGACATACACATCAGCATAGAATTAACCTTAGTATTATCTGAATGAGGAAAAGATGGCTACAAAATACTTGCACGTTTGGAAATATATGCAGTTCAAAATTAAGGGAAATGTTACCATCTCAATTATTATGAAGATACCAAGATGAATAATTGAAAAACAAAAATTTTAACGGAGGTAGCTGGTGTGTATTTGAAGTCATGATGAAAGGAAAAAATAAGGTAAACTCATCTGGCTAACAAACGTAAGCTTATTAAGTGATTCTGATGAAGTAACACATCATAGTGAGAGGGAAAATATACTTTATGAATCATTACGTTGCTACTACTGAAAAATCAATTAATATCAACAGTTGCTATGCTGTGGTTTCAAATACACAGGATAACATTTCCTGCATGTTTGGAGAAGTGTTATGACCTCTCCGAAGCCCCGGATTTGTCACTACTGATTATTCCCTTTGTAAACTATCATAAATAAGGCCTAAACAGATTTATACTTAAATTTAATTAATTTGACCTTTAAGACACCATCAGCAGCATTTGCATATATCTGCATTTTTTGATACAGATCACATTATTCCCACACTCCTAAATGATTACTTCTTGCCAAGTTAACTTTCATTATCTGGTACTGAGACTTTTCAGAAATTATAATGAAATGTATCAAAATATATGAGACTTGTGAAAATAATTTCCAAATACTTATGATAAATTAATTTAGTAATATTACTAATTATTCAAAGGAATACTTCCTCTTGAAGTTGCATTTCACCTCCATTCATTCAATAGACTTACACAGCCAACATGGAAGAGTATTTTTTAATTCCTCCTATTCAAGAAAAGAGAAAATACTTAAACGCTGTATACTTCGAATAGATCTCTGCTCATAAAGTAACTAAACATCGTTTCCTGGGAGAGATGTGAAATGCCGTGACTGATGTCGGCTAGGTCAAGTGAACAATAATGTAAGCATTAGCACAATAATGTGACTTTACCACAAGTTCCCAGAGTAACCTTGCTAGTAACTTGTAGCGGTGTTTTTCTTGTCATGAGGCATTCAGAGGTGGAACGGCACTGTTTTAGCCCATTCCTTTCTTCACAGCTTTTCCATAAATCCAGGTTGTCACTCCCAGGATTTTTGCATATAGAATAACCCTTCTAGTGACTGGCTGCTTCTGCCAGCTAGTTCTTCAGATCAGCTCTACTTTGAATTAATACTCTCTTCAATCTTCCTTACTTCTTCCTCTAGTATCCTTTATGTTCTTCTTGACATACCTACTCTCCTAACTTTTGCTTTCACCAAATTTGTCCTACTTTTTTTGTCTCCTACAATGCATGGAAAATGGAGAGAGATGTCATTCAGGAAGAAGCCTGGGAGGTTCCGACTGGACATTATGAAAAACTTATTTGCGGTGTAGAAAACAGTTTAATGTTTGTGTTTCTTGCTCAGAGTTATGACATGCTAATAGGCATGATGAAATTCAGAAATGCTTCTTTAAAACAGGAAGAGAGGAAAAAAAAGTTATTTTCTGCAAAGACAAATCACTTAGTGCCTTTTGTGTGCTTGTTATCTGAAATCAAGCCCCATTTATCCACTTGGTTAGTTCTTCGAATCCACCATGCTGTTCAGTGCCCATGATTTTTTATGGAAGTGTTTCCATGAAGGGGTCCAGAATGCAGTTTTTAATACAGACATTTTTAATGTTACTGTCTGTCCAGAAGTATAGGAGATAAGAGTACGTGAGCAACATTGTTCTTTGAGATTTATGTAGCTGTGATCTGCAATTGCAATTAGTCAAAATCAGAAAATATGAGAATTTTGACTTAGCCTAACAGGTTCTTCTCTGTTGGGCAGATGATCTGTGATCTAGTATTAAGTTTTCTGATAAAATATGTTATATATTGGCATATGGCTTTTCCAGGAGACTCTTACACAGCTGAACCTCTGTGATTTCCACTTCCCGGTTAATGAACAGCAATGCTGTATTTTGTTTATGCCTACTTAGTACTGGACCAGATCTTGATTACTGGTTCCTATTCACACACTTCTCTGGTAACAGAATGACCGATTTCCTCAAATAAGTCTCTATAGTGCTATCGCTCTAGCAACTGACTTCTTCACAAATTGTTATTACTGAGTGTACTTTTACAAAATTCTGGTAAATGAAGAAATGCAACTGAAGTATGGTCAGTAGTACTACTAAGTTTGGGTGCAGATGATGAAGACAACTTAATATCTTTTTTCAGAGTGTTTGGCATTACATACCATGTAGCATGGCTTACATTGGTTTTGGCAGTAGCCGAATGCTCAGCATTTCTGCACACTCTGTCTCAGTGTTTCAAACTAATCATCCAGAAAATGAAGAAAGTACATTTAAGAATCATGACTATAATTTGATACAAATCTTTTGCTGATATCACAAATGAAGTTTATGGCACTCAAGCAGCCTGATGATATTGTTCTTGCTCTTTGCAGCATTTCCCTCCTTCGGTCACTTTGATTTTAAGTTCTGCAACAAGGAAACAAAGCAGGAAATCTTTCAAACTATATTCTTCTATACTTAATTCTTTACCAAAAAATCCCTACACTTCACTGAGTAATAGAAGGGGTTGTAGAAAAAACAATGTGCATCCTGCATCAAGAGGAGTATGAAAACAAATGACAGTAAGGTTGTCATGTCATCTGCAAACATCCAGGATATCTATGTGTATAGAGGGGATCAACACTTAATCCTCTTTACAGCTTGTAAACACAAATATTACAACTGTGCATACTGATATTTGCAGTTGATTTTATAGACTAGAATCTGTGTGTGTACACAAATGCTTGAGGACAGGTTTACATTGTGCAGTAGTGCGTGTTGCAGACATCCTACTGCTAACAACAGCCAAGATAAATTTATAGTACTAAATAGGGGCATGAAGTTGCACTAAGTGATTTTGCCTTTCTCTGAGGCACTGACACTGCAGCATTGTGCTTGGGATCTGAGCTGATATCTCTAAACAGGACTATATGCTTGTAGTGACAGTGTTTTCACCACTGAAAGCTGGACGACTCTGCTGTGTCCAAAAAAGAAAAAAAAATCAGTCTTTTGAAGTAGGTGGTAGTGTTTACAGTTTCAGTAGAAATAGAGAAATAAGCAAAATGAATAATAGAAATCTAAGTTGGTGAAAGGGATGGCTGAGTTGAGCAGCACAAAACCCTGGAAGGAGCAGTAGTGATGCACAGCCTCGAAAAAGTCTGTATATTGGAACTGGTGAACATCATTCTGATATGTTTGTAATACTAGAAGGAACACACTGTGTAAAAACTCGATATATAAATTTATATGTATTACCACTGTATGTACTTACATATACATTATCTGTATTGATACAATGAATTATCCAACTGCTTCCCAAGATGCCAAGGTTTCCCTCTTCTTTTGAATTATTTCAATTTCATACCTTCTATAATACACCTGTTCTTTTGCACTCGTAAAAGTTCCTTTCTTTTTCCTC